ATACTAGCTCAAAAGATATTATTAGACCAAGAGATGGTTCTCAATATCTCATCCAAAAGTTACTAGAGCTTAATACACATCAAACTGTACTAAATGATTCTATTAATTTTAAATATTATAAAGGCAAATATTTCTCCCTTTTCTACGTTTTATTGTTATTCAATTGCTTTAATTATTCATTTTATCAATAGAAATCTCTTTATTTTCTCTCTTTCATAATGCAAATAATGGCAAAAAAGTTGAAAAAAGATACTGTTTTTAATATTAATTACTAATAAAGTTAGCGTTAATTTTTTAAAAGGTGCATTAACCCTCAACTTGTACCTCGGTTAAAAACACCCTTTTTCATATTTGTTAAAAGGTCAAAATAGTTGAATAAAAATGTTTAAATTATTAATAATATTAATTATCAACTTAATCTCATTAATGCTGGTTTTATTTTAATATGGTTACGATTTTTAAATTTTAATTTTAATTTTTATAACTTATATAATTCTAAACAAAAATTTTATTTACTTTTTTACACATGTGCTTTTTAATGTATTATCTTATTAAAAAATGATGAAAAAATAATTTTAATATTATTAAATAACTTTATATTTTTTTCTTATCAATGTGAAAACTCTTTAAACAAATTATTAGTTTCTTTTAGTTTCAATTTTTAATAATTATAAAATTTAGGTTAAACCCCTATTTTGGTCCTTGAACTATTGTATGGACCCCCGATTTGGTCCCTAAACTAAAGAAATCCCTAATTTGGTCCTTGAACTATTGTACGAACCCCTGAGTTGGTCCCTAAACTATTGTACGGACTCCCAAGTTAGTCCCTAAACTGTTGTACGGATGCCCAATTTGGTCCCTACTGTTTACCAATTTAACCTCAACTTGGTCCTTCTGTTAAATAATAGTTCAGGGACCAAATTGGGGCGAAGTTGTAAATAGTAAGGACCAAATTGGGGATCCGTACAATAGTTCAAGGACCAACTTAGGGCAAATTATAAACAGTGGGGACCAAATCAGGGTCCGTACAATAGTTTAAGGACTAAATCAGGGATTTCTTTAGTTCAGGGACCAAATTGGGGGTCCGTACAATAGTTCAGGGATCAAAATGGGGATTTAACCTAAAATTTATAAAATTAAAAAATTACAATTATACTTCTTTGATATATACAATTACAATCATACTAGATAGAGTCACAGTTATTATTCACTAACCAACGACTTGTTAGTTTGAATAAAAGGGTGTCAAGTTCAAGTTTTATGAATGGAGAAATATATGCCTGTAAATGTTTCCTTTATGGGTTTGACATGAGCTCGATTCTGAATTAATCATGGTATAATATGATTTTCAGATATCAAGAGATTAGTACCAAGAAAAGTTATTATCCACTAATTTCAAACCTGTAACCTAATGCCAAAAAAAAAAAAAAACTTACTTTTATGTGGAGGTGGAAGTCATATTTCTTAAAATTCAGGGGTTAATTGAATATCCCGAAAATACATCCACTTACAAATCAATATCAAACGCTATTGATCTTTTTCCTCTACTTTGCCTCTAAACCCTAGCTAGAGTTGTTGCTTTTCATGACCCCCACAGCCATGGCGACCTATGACTTGACTCCACGCATAGCGCCAAACCTCGTCCAGTACCTAGTCTTCCCTCTCTTGGAGTTTCTATAGGAGCTTGATAGATCCAAAAATTGGAAAGAAGAATTAGAAGAAGAATTAAGGGAGAACATATCCAAGAAGAAGAAGAAGAAGATAAAGATTAGAAAAGAGGAACCAAGAAGGGGATAGAAGGAAGAGGAAAAGTTTGTTTGTAGTCATCAATCAATAGATTTTCAGTCACAAAGCCGTCACTTATATAAGGGCAATTACAATTATAGACCTCAACAAACTCTTTAACAAACGGACCCATATTTCCAGCTCAGCATAGATAATTAGACTATAAAAAATGCCTCCATCTCTAAAATCCTTGTCTTCAAGGATTAGGATGAAAATCTGGAAACCTAATGAGGATATCAACACTAGTTTCTCAAGAAGCCTCCTCAATAGTAC